TAGAAGAGACATGAGGAAGAGGGGACACATGTTGATGTAGAAGAGACATGAAGAAGAGGGGACACATGTTGATGAAGAAGAGACATGAAGAAGAGGGGACACATGTTGATGTAGAAGAGACATGAAGAAGAGGGGACACATGTTGATGAAGAAGAGACATGAAGAAGAGGGGACACATGTTGATGAAGAAGAGACATGAAGAAGAGGGGACACATGTTGATGAAGAAGAGACATGAAGAAGAGGGGACACATGTTGATGAAGAAGAGACATGAAGAAGAGGGGACACATGTTGATGTTGAAGAGACATGAAGAAGAGGGGACACATGTTGATGTAGAAGAGACATGAAGAAGAGGGAACACATGTTGATGAAGAAGAGACATGAAGAAGAGGGGACACATGTTGATGTAGAAGAGACATGAAGAAGAGGGGACACATGTTGATGTAGAAGAGACATGAAGAAGAGGGGACACATGTGTGATGAAGAAGAGACATGAAGAAGAGGGGACACATGTTGATGAAGAAGAGACATGAAGAAGAGGGGACACATGTTGATGAAGAAGAGACATGAAGAAGAGGGGACACATGTTGATGTTGAAGAGACATGAAGAAGAGGGGACACATGTTGATGTAGAAGAGACATGAAGAAGAGGGAACACATGTTGATGAAGAAGAGACATGAAGAAGAGGGGACACATGTTTGATGTAGAAGAGACATGAAGAAGAGGGGACCATGTTGATGTAGAAGAGACATGAAGAAGAGGGACACATGTTGATGTAGAAGAGACATGAAGAAGAGGGACACATGTTGATGTAGAAGAGACATGAAGAAGAGGGGACACAAACATGTTGATGAAGAAGAGACATGAAGAAAGGGACAACATGTTGATGTAGAAGTAGAACAAGGAAGAAGAGGGGGACACATGTTGATGAAGAAGAGACATGATGAAAGAGGGGACACATGTTGATGTAGAAGGAACATGAAAGAAGAGTGGACACATGTTGAGTGAGAAGAGACATGAAGAAGAGGGGACATGAAGAAGAGGGGACACATGTTGATGTAGAAGAGACCATAAGAAGAGGGGACACATGTTGATTAATGGAAGAGACATGAAGAAGAGGGGAACACATGTTGATGTAGAAGAGACATGAAGAAGAGGGACACCATGTTGATGAAGAAGAGACATGAGGAAGAGGGGACACATGTTGATGTAGAAGAAGACATGGAAGAAGAGGGGAACATGTTATGTAGAATAGACTATGAAGAAGAGGGGACATGAAGAAGAGGGGGACATTTGAGAAGAGAATGAAGAAGAGGGGAACACATGTTGATGTAAGAAGAGACATGAAGAAGAGGGGAACACATGTTTGAATGTAAGAAGAGACTATGTTATGTGAAGAGACATGAAGAAGAGGGGACACATGTTGATGTAGAAGAGACATGAAGAAGAGGGGACACATGTTGATGTAGAGAGACATGAAGAAGAGGGGGACACATGTGATGTAGAAGAGACATGAAGAAGAGGGGGACACATGTTGATGAAAGAAGAGACATGAAGAAGAGGGGAACACTGTTTGATGTAGAAGAGACATGAAGAAGAGGGGGACACTGGTTGTATGAAGAAGAGGACATGAAGGAAGAGGGGACACCATGTTGATGTATGTAGAAGAGACATAATGAAGAAGAGGGGGGGACACATGTTGATGTAAGGAAGAGACATGAGGAAGAGGGGACACATGTTTGAGTAGATATGAAGAAGAGGGGACATGAAGAAGAGGGGACACATGTTGATGTAGAAGAGACCATGAAGAAGAGGTGGACACATGTTGATGTAGAAGAGACTGAAGAAGCATGGGACAGAAGAAGGGGAAACATGTTGATGTAGAAGAGACATGAATAGGACATGAAGAGAGGGGACACATGTTGATGTAGAAGAGACATGAGAAGAGGGGACACATGTTTGATTGTAGAAGAGACATGAGAAGAGGGGACATGAAGAAGAGGTGACACAGTTGATGTAGAAGAGACATGAAGAAGAGGGGACACATGTTGTATGTAAGAAGAGGAATGAAGAAGAGGGGACACTTTGATTTAGAAAGAGGACATGAAGAAGAGGGGACATGAAGAAGAGGGGCACATTGTTGAGTAGAAGAGAACATGAAGAAGAGGGGAACAGGTTGATGTAGAAGAGACATGAGGAACAGAGGGGACACATGTTGATGTAGAAGAGACATGAGAAGAAGAGGGGACACATGTAGGATGTAGAGAGAAGAAGAAGAGGGGAACATGTTGATTGTAGAAGAGACATTGAAAGGAAGAGGGGGACACATGTTGATGTAGAAGAGACATGAGGAAGAGGGAACGGAGGACACATGTTGATGTAGGAAGGAGACAGGAAGAAGAGGGGACCACATGTTGATGAAGAAGAGACATGAAGAACGAGGGGACACATGTTGATGAAGAAGAGACATGAAGAAGAGGGGACACATGTTGATGAAGAAGAGACATGAAGAAGAGGGGACACAGGTTGATGTAGAAGAGACATGAAGAAGAGGGGACACATGTTGTGTAGAAGAGCCATGAAGAAGAGGGGGAGACACATGTTGATGTAGAAGAGACCATGAGAAGAGGGGACACATGTTGATGAAGAAGAGACATGAAGAAGAGGGGGACACATGTTGATGTAGAAGAGACATGAAGAAGAGGGGACACATGTTTGATGTAGAAGAGACATGAAGAAGAGGGGGACACATGTTGATGTAGAAGAGACATGAAGAAGAGGGGGACACATGTTGATGTAGGAAGAGACATGAAGAAGAGGGGACTACCATGTTGATGAAGAGAAGAGACATGAAGAAGAGGGGACACATGTTGATGTAGAAGAGACATGAAGAAGAGGGGACACATGTTGATGAAGAAGAGACATGAGAAGAGGGGACACATGTTGATGTAGAAGAGACATGAAGAAGAGGGGACACATGTTGATGTAGAAGAGACATGAAAGAAGAGGGGGACATGAAGAAGAGGGGGGAACCATGTTGATGTAGAAGAGACATGAAGGAAGAGAGGGGACACATGTGATGTAGAAGAGAATGAAGAAGAGGGGGGACACATGTTGATGAAGAAGAGACATGAAGAAGAGGGGACCACATGTTGATTGTTAGAAGAGACATGAAGAAGAGGGGACCACATGTTGATGAAGAAGAGGACATGAGGAAGAGGGGACACATGTTTGATGTAGAAGAGACATGAAGAAGAGGGACACATGTTGATGTAGAAGAGACATGAAGAAGAGGGGACACATGTTGATGTAGAAGAGACATGAAGAAGAGGGGGGACACATGTTGATGAAGAAGAGACATGAAGAAGAGAGGGACACATGTTGATGTAGAAGAGACATGAAGAAGAGGGGACACATGTTGATGAAGAAGAGACATGAGGAAGAGGGGGACACATGTTGATGTAGAAGAGACATGAAGAAGAGGGGACACATGTGATGTAGAAGAGACATGAAAGAGGGGAATGAAGAAGAGGGGACACATGTTGATGTAGAAGAGACATGAAGAAGAGGGGACACATGTTGATGTAGAAGAGACATGAAGAAGAGGGGACACATGTTGATGTAGAAGACACATGAAGAAGAGGGGACACATGTTGATGTAGAAGAGACATGAAGAAGAGGGGACACATGTTGATGTAGAAGAGACATGAAGAAGAGGGGACACATGTTGATGTAGAAGAGACATGAAGAAGAGGGGACATGAAGAAGAGGGGACACATGTTGATGTAGAAGAGACATGAAGAAGAGGGGACACATGTTGATGTAGAAGAGACATGAAGAAGAGGGGACACATGTTGATGTAGAAGAGACATGAAGAAGAGGGGACATGAAGAAGAGGGGACACATGTTGATGTAGAAGAGACATGAAGAAGAGGGGACACATGTTGATGTAGAAGAGACATGAAGGAGAGGGGACACATGTTGATGTAGAAGAGACATGAGAAGAGGGGACATGATGAGAAGAGGGACCATGTTGATGTAGAAGAGACATGAAGAAGAGGGTACACAGTTGATGTAAGAAGAGACATGAAGAAGAGGGGACATGAAGAAGAAGGGGACACATGTTGATGTAGAAAGAGGACATGAAGAAGAGGGGACACATGTTGATGTAGATAGAGACATGAAGAAAGAGTGGACAACATGTTGGATGTAGAAGAAGCATGAAGAAGAGGGGACACATGTTGATGAAGAAGAGACATGAAGAAGAAGAGGGGACACATGCATGTAGAAAGAGACATGAAGAAGAGGGTGGACACATGTTGATGTAGAAGAGACATGAAGAGAGGGGACACATGTTGATGTGAGAAAGAGACATGAAGAAAGAGTGACACATGGTGATGAAGAAAGAGACATGAAGAAGAGGGGACACATGGTTGATGAAGAAGAGACATGAAAGAAGAGGGGACACATGTTGATGTAGAAGAGACATGAAGAAGAGGGGACACATGTTGATGTAGAAGAGACATGAAGAAGAGGGGACAACATGTTGATGAAGAAGAGACATGAAGAAGAGGGGACACATGTTGATGAAGAAGAGACATGAAGAAGAGGGGACACATGTTGATGTAGAAGAGACATGAAGAAGAGGGGACACATGTTGATGTAGAAGAGACATGAAGAAGAGGGGACATTGAAGAAGAGGGGAACCTGAAGAGAGGGGACACATGTTGATGTAGAAGAGACATGAAGAAGAGGGGACATGAAGAAGAGGGGACACATGTTGATGTAGAAGAGACATGAAGAAGAGGGGACACATGTTGATGTAGAAGAGACATGAAGAAGAGGGGACACATGTTGATGTAGAAGAGACATGAAGAAGAGGGACACATGTTGATGTTAGAAGAGACATGAAGAAGAGGGGACACATGGTGATGAAGAAGAGACATGAAGAAGAGGGGACACATGTTTGATGTAGAAGAGACATGAAGAAGAGGGGGACACATGTTGATGTAGAAGAGACATGAAGAAGAGGGGACACATGTTGATGAAGAAGAGACATGAAGAAGAGGGGACACATGTTGATGAAGAAGAGACATGAAGAAGAGGGGGACACATGTTGATGTAGAAGAGACATGAAGAAGAGGGGACACATGTTGATGTAGAAGAGACATGAAGAAGAGGGGACACATGGTGATGTAGAAGAGACATGAAGAAGAGGGGACACATGTTGATGAAGAAGAGACATGAAGAAGAGGGGACACATGTTGATGTAGAAGAGACATGAAGAAGAGGGGATACATGTTGATGAAGAAGAGACATGAAGAAGAGGGGACACGTGTTGATGTAGAAGAGACATGAAGAAGAGGGGACACATGTTGATGTAGAAGAGACATGAGGAAGTGGATTTTGCATGATAGGGGACCTTTAACACTTTCTTTTTGAAATATTTCAAAATGTTTCAAAGAGTGCGTAATAAATTATAAAATACAAAAGAATCGAGTGTTTTTCCGAGTATAACCAGAGGGGTATTTACTGACATATTACACATCAATGTAAATACTGCTATATTTCTTATTATTTTGTAATGTTATCATAGTTTTCTATCTGTTTGTGAAATTCCTCGTACGTGTCAACCAACCCGGTGATGAACCTGATTGTGATTGTGATCTCTTCAGCGTGTGTTTCCCACAGAGCTAACAACCAAAAACACATCCAGGAAACCATTGACCTCCAAACCAGGGGTGCTGAGTCATGTCAGGGTTTAAGGACTCATTCCTGCAGCTCTGTATTTTACTAAGAGAGGTCAAGGGTCATTCAATCTGGGTGTTGCATAACATAAGGGTTTGCCAACAGATCAGCGAAGACAAGAAGAACCGGTTAAACAGCGATTCGGACAATTAGCCTGTTGTGTTTCCACAGAGCAGACGCCACTGGGAGACAAGTTTTAAAACGTTTTTCAGAAGCTTTTCGCACTAAAGTTATATAAGCAGGGATGAGGACCGGATTACTGAGCATGTCAAGAAATGAAGAAACTGCCTCCAGGGTTAGTTGTGAGAGTGGAGATTATATTACATTTATACACCTGAACATCAGCAGGAGAGGACTCTTTAAAGTAGAGACACTACATACTGATATACACCTGAACCTCAGCAGGAGAGGACTCTTTAAAGTAGAGACACTACATACTGATATACACCTGAACATCAGCAGGAGAGGACTCTTTAAAGTAGAGACACTACATACTGATATACACCTGAACCTCAGCAGGAGAGGACTCTTTAAAGTAGAGACACTACATACTGATATACACCTGAACATCAGCAGGAGAGAACTCTTTAAAGTAGAGACACTACTGATATACACCTGAACATCAGCAGGAGAGGACTCTTTAAAGTAGAGACACTACATACTGATATACACCTGAACATCAGCAGGAGAGGACTCTTTAAAGTAGAGACACTACTGATATACACCTGAACATCAGCAGGAGAGGACTCTTTAAAGTAGAGACACTACATACTGATATACACCTGAACATCAGCAGGAGAGGACTCTTTAAAGTAGAGACACTACATACTGATATACACCTGAACATCAGCAGGAGAGGACTCTTTAAAGTAGAGACACTACATACTGATATACACCTGAACATCAGCAGGAGAGGACTCTTTAAAGTAGAGACACTACATACTGATATACACCTGACATCAGCAGGAGAGGACTCTTTAAAGTAGAGACACTACATACTGATTTACACCTGAACATCAGCAGGAGAGGACTCTTTAAAGTAGAGACACTACATACTGATATACACCTGAACATCAGCAGGAGAGGACTCTTTAAAGTAGAGACACTACATACTGATATACACCTGAACATCAGCAGGAGAGAACTCTTTAAAGTAGAGATACTACATACTGATATACACCTGAACATCAGCAGGAGAGGACTCTTTAAAGTAGAGACACTACATACTGATATACACCTGAACATCAGCAGGAGAGGACTCTTTAAAGTAGAGACACTACATACTGATATACACCTGAACATCAGCAGGAGAGGACTCTTTAAAGTAGAGACACTACATACTGATATACACCTGAACATCAGCAGGAGAGGACTCTTTAAAGTAGAGACACTACATACTGATATACACCTGAACCTCAGCAGGAGAGGACTCTTTAAAGTAGAGACACTACATACTGATATACACCTGAACATCAGCAGGAGAGGACTCTTTAAAGTAGAGACACTACATACTGATATACACCTGAACATCAGCAGGAGAGAACTCTTTAAAGTAGAGATACTACATACTGATATACACCTGAACATCAGCAGGAGAGGACTCTTTAAAGTAGAGACACTACATACTGATATACACCTGAACATCAGCAGGAGAGGACTCTTTAAAGTAGAGACACTACATACTGATATACACCTGAACATCAGCAGGAGAGAACTCTTTAAAGTAGAGATACTACATACTGATATACACCTGAACATCAGCAGGAGAGGACTCTTTAAAGTAGAGACACTACATACTGATATACACCTGAACATCAGCAGAGAGGACTCTTTAAAGTAGAGACACTACATACTGATATACACCTGAACATCAGCAGGAGAGGACTCTTTAAAGTAGAGACACTACATACTGATATACACCTGAACATCAGCAGGAGAGGACTCTTTAAAGGTAAACCAAACAAATTGTGAGTAAACGTAAATCAAAATGAATGTAAATTACCTTCTTCAAACAGGTGACTGTGTCTGGCTCGGCTCTGCAGGTCAGGATTGGTTCTGGGGCGTCTGTCAGCCTAAACACACAGACACAGACACACACAGTACTTTTACTTGTTATGCAGTACTTTTAATTGCAGTACTTTTACAAAAAGCTGACAATACTTGTGCACTTTTAAAGATGGTTTTAAATGAGAAATGTTACTGCTGATACTTCAACATGAATCTCATTATACTTGTATAAAATGTTTCATGCAGTACTTTGACTTGTTATGCAGTACTTTTAATGCAGGATTTGTACTTGTTATGCAGTACTTTTGCTTTGGTGTATTGGTACTTTTACAAAAAGCTGACAATACTTGTGTACATTTACTGCTGGTAGTTTTACATGCAGTTGATGAAACGTGTGTACTTTTACATGAAGCTGACAATACTTAATTAAGATGTTTCATGCAGTACTTTTACTAGTTATGCAGAGCCTGTTATGCAGAACTTTTTACTTGTACTTCAGTACTTGTTATGCAATACTTGTACTTGTTATGCAATACTTGTACTTGTTATGCAGAGCCTGTTATGCAGTACTTTTACTTGTACTTCAGTACTTTTGCTCTGCTGTATCTGAGTCCTCTCAGGTGAACCTCTCACCTCAGAGTCGGAGCTGGACTCGGACTCGTTGACCAGAGAACTCTTCACATCGTCCAGGTCTCTCTCCGAGGAAACGTTTCTCTTTTCCTCCTGTTCTCCCTCGTCTTTGAACGCAATCAGCTCATCGTTGGCTCCCAGATCTCCGTCTGAAGCTAACATGCTAACATTAGCTGCTAACATGCTAACATCTAACTGTCCACTAACACGGACTTAACACCTAAGTTATAAAAGAAATAACAACCTACAACACCCGAGGAACTTTAACAGAACATCCGGGTCATGCTACACCTATTTCAAGCAGATGAATTTAGTGTTTTTGGGACTAAAAAAAACATGCTAAGCTATGATGCTAATCAATGCTACATGCGGCGTTCACAGACGACTCGGATTTGCCGCTGTTAAATTCCTGAGGTATGGGAATCCTCACAACAAAACTAGCTTTGAAAACAAGCTAACATGCTAAGCTCGTATGCTAACATGCTAAGCAGTGCTACAAGCGGCGTTCACTGACGCCTCGGTGTTTCCGTTGTTAAATTCCTGAGGTGTGGAAGTCGCTGTTTTCCAACCGAGAAAAGAGTCCATAAACAAAAGGGGGATTGACGGGAAAGCCTCCAAAATGGTTACAAAATATAAAAAATAGTCCATAAACAGAATGGCACTGACAGAGAAGGCTCTAAAATGGTTAAAAAAAATGTATAAATAATAGTTAAAATCCTCCCAGGACGGCTGACATTATCAACCCGACCGCGGTGCACTTCGCTCCGAGTGAAAAAGTTTACGTGTGTCGCTTTACTCCAGAAAAAGTAGATCCCTGTTTTGATTTAATTCCCACATCTTGAATGCAGTTTGGTTATAGAAATCCTCCCGATTTTAAGTCGACGGTTTCGGCATTTATTCAGAAAACAAGCCTGCGGTGCGGAGGCGTGGGAAACCTTTCTGGAGAGAGAGAGGAGTGAAGGGGGAAAAGAGTGCGCGGCGACCGGAGAACAGTGAAGGGGCGACGGGGACGCGCTGACCCCGGATCAGTTTAGCAAAGCGCGCTCCCGTGACCGCTCATGCCCGACAGGCTGGATGAACTGATCCTGGATCAGGAACAACAGGTTGATCCCATACGAGGCACAAAGAGGAAGGAGGGAGGAGTTTACATGGACAAAAAGGACATTTTTTAAGACCTTAAAGGAGCAGTTAGACTCTTTTTTCTAAAGTCAACTTGTATTTGTGTAATTAATCTATGGAAGAGGATTAGGGCAACATGAAAAAAAAATGTTAGGATGTTACCAAGAGTAAAAAAAAAAAAGAAAATCAGATCTGAGATTAGAGTCAGAATTCATTCACAAAATGTTTTATCATGTGGCCCTACTCCTCTTCCTTATGAATCAGAATTTACTGCCAGGTCTGTTCAGAGGTGGGAAGTAACTAAGTACATTTACTCAAGTACTGTACTTGAGTAACATTTCGAGATACCATTGTATGCTACTGTGTACTTCTACTCCACTACAGTTCAGAGGTACATGGTGTACTTTTCCTCCACTACATGTATTTAATACCCTTAGTTACTTTGCAGATGTGGATGAATGATGTGAAATATAACCAAGTGTTAAATCAGACTTTAGTTCCACCTGGAGTAAATCCACAAGCTACCCTGCAGTATACAAAGTCATTCAAACTAGCTGCACCTTTACCAGCTTTGAGAACACTTTCATGATCAATCATTATAAAACATATCATATATATTATTCTGAAATGGACCAATCTGCACAATGACTACTTTTACTGTCGCTACTTTCACTATATTTTGATGATAATACTTTTATACTTTTCCTTGAGGAACATTTTGAATGCAGGACTTTTACTGTAACTGAGTATTCCTACACTCTGGTACTTCTACTTTTACTCAAGTACAAGACCTGAGTACTTCTACTTTTACTCAAGTACAAGATCTGAGTCCTTCTACTTTTACTGAAGTACAAGATCTGTGTACTTCTACTTTTACTGAAGTACAAGATCTGAGTACTTCTACTTTTACTCAAGTACAAGATCTGAGTACTTCTACTTTTACTGAAGTACAAGATCTGTGTACTTCTACTTTTACTCAAGTACAAGATCTGAGTACTTCTACTTTTACTGAAGTACAAGATCTGAGTACTTCTACTTTTACTCCAGTACAAGATCTGAGTACTTCTACTTTTACTCAAGTACAAGATCTGAGTACTTCTACTTTTACTGAAGTACAAGATCTGTGTACTTCTACTTTTACTGAAGTACAAGATCTGAGTACTTCTACTTTTACTGAAGTACAAGATCTGAGTACTTCTACTTTTACTCCAGTACAAGATCTGAGTACTTCTACTTTTACTCAAGTACAAGATCTGAGTACTTCTACTTTTACTGAAGTACAAGATCTGTGTACTTCTACTTTTACTGAAGTACAAGATCTGAGTACTTCTACTTTTACTGAAGTACAAGATCTGAGTACTTCTACTTTTACTCAAGTACAAGACCTGAGTACTTCTACTTTTACTGAAGTACAAGATCTGAGTACTTCTACTTTTCCTCAAGTACAAGATCTGAGTACTTCTACTTTTACTGAAGTACAAGATCTGTGTACTTCTACTTTTACTGAAGTACAAGATCTGAGTACTTCTACTTTTACTGAAGTACAAGATCTGAGTACTTCTACTTTTACTCAAGTACAAGATCTGAGTACTTCTACTTTTACTCAAGTACAAGACCTGAGTACTTCTACTTTTACTGAAGTACAAGATCTGAGTACTTCTACTTTTACTCAAGTACAAGACCTGAGTACTTCTACTTTTACTCAAGTACAAGATCTGAGTACTTCTACTTTTACTCAAGTACAAGATCTGAGTACTTCTACTTTTACTCAAGTACAAGACCTGAGTACTTCTACTTTTACTCAAGTACAAGATCTGAGTACTTCTACTTTTACTCAAGTACAAGATCTGACTACTTCTACTTTTACTCAAGTACAAGATCTGAGTACTTCTACTTTATAAAACATTCAATCATTATAAAACATATCATATATATTATTCTGAAATGGACCAATCTGCACAATGACTACTTTTACTGTCGCTACTTTCACTATATTTTGATGAGAATACTTTTATACTTTCACTTGAGGAACATTTTGAATGCAGGACTTTTACTTGTAATAGAGTATTCCTACACTCTGGTACTTCTACTTTTACTCAAGTACACAGTCTTAGTACGTCTTCCACCTCTGGGTCTGTTTACATACACAATGCTTTGGCGTATGGTGCTGCAAACATAATGAAATAAGTTGTAAGAAAAGTAAAGAATACAACGATTATAAAACGAAAATAGATTTAGCTGTGAAACAGACTGAGAGTAAACATAAGTGAATCTACTCATTATGCAGAATGAGTACATGTACACTCACATGTGTACACGTTTAAGAATAACTGTTCTCACGTGTACTTCTTGTGTTTTTACTGCAGGTCGGCCACAGGTCAGAGCCACGAGCAGCTGTATAACCCCGGAGAGGAAACATGTGTTACGTCCATCAGCACTGCAGGACTTTACACATAAAAACTGAACTCTGCAGAGCTGAGAGAGGGAAGACCTGCACACTGCAATGCATTGTGGGTAGTATAGGCGCTGTGGGAGAAGAACACGAGGAATAAAAAAAGATGATATGACTCTTTCTGATTCTTTTATTTACAATATGTCTCTGAGTCCGGTGTGGCGGTGAAGCAGCGTGGGATCATGGGAGTTGTAGTCTTGAGAACTCCTCCCATGTTCATGAAATAAAGTAAAAAGTACTTTAGCCTCTGAGATATAGCACAGTAGAAGTATAAAGTGTCAGAACATAGACGTACGTAAGTAAAGAACAATAAAACAATAATAGAAACAACTGTTCTCTAATTATAATTGTCCTTATTACATTTCCATGTTAAAAGAGGGAGGCGTGTGGCGCAGTGGGTTAGTGCGTTGGTGTTGGGATCAGGGGGGGCACAGGTTCAAACCCCACTGCAGTCAGCATGTCGTTGTGTCCCTGAGACACTTCACCCCAAAGTGCTCCTGTGGGGATTGCCCACAGTATTGAGTAAGTCGCTTTGGATAAAAGCGTCTAACAAGTGACATGTGATGTAAAATAAATGTAATAAAAAAAACACACAAGAAACAACCACGACAACAAAACACATGCAATATATATACTGAGACCTGGTATTAAAAAACATGAATGAATGCTTTGACAAGTGTGCTTAGAAGACGGCAGATGAGAATGTTCAACCCAGTCTCACGGCATTTTGTGTTATTAGTCACGAAATTAATGTAATCTATTGATTCGTGTTCACCAACACGATTTTCACCTTTTTTTCGTGTCACACAGAACGATTTTAAATGCAATGTATTTCTATTGGTAGTGTGTTTCGTGCCTGCACCACGTCTTTTTGTCCGGTCGGGTCTTGGAAGACCAGAAGCTGTGTGGTTCATAAAAACATGTTCTTACTCAATATCAAGCCATGATTATTGTTTTTATTTAAAATTGTATAATGTCTGTGTGTTTTTGCCGTCAGTGAGGAAAATAAATGGCTCAGAGCCTCAGAATACTGACATCTGTATTTGTTGTCATCTTTTTTTCCTTCTAATTTGTTATTATTTGGTGCAGGCACGAAACATACTACCAATAGAAATACATTGCTTCTAAAATCGTTCTGTGTCAGAATACTGAAATCTGTATTTTTTTAAATGTCTTTTTCCTTCTAATTTGTTATTATTTACATTGCTTTTAAAATCGTTCTGTGTGACACGAAAAAAATGGCGAAATCGTGTTGGTGAACACGAATCAATAGATTAATTTCGTGACTATAACACGAAATGCCGTGAGACTGGGTTGGAATGTTTAAATAGTTTTCTGAATGGATATTTTGAATTGTCTTTGTTGTTGTATGTATTTGTGTTATCTGTTATATCTCTAGCTTCACTAGAGGGTGGTGCTATGTATGCTACTTTGATGTATTGTATGCTAAATCCGCCATTGTCCCGAAGTATACTTTTATCTGATGTACTCGCTGGAATACGCTCTGTGTTTTTTCCCCGTAAAACCTGAAAATAAAAATAAAGTTACAAAAAACGTTTGATCTTCACATCTTGAAGATCAAACGCAAACACAATCTTTAGTCTACATCGAACGCCCTCGCCGTAGCGTGGCGGCGAAAATGAATATGCTAATTTTATTTAGCCTTTTATCTGCTCTGTTTCATTTGCTGATAACAATGTACATTTCCACGCTGTTGCACAAATCTATGCTTCTGATATTAAAATCATAATCACTACATTTTTTTCTGAATGGAGATGGTATCGAACAGGCTAAGCTAACTTCGTCAAAACTCACAGCAACTTCACACAGACAGAAATAAAGCAGCGACTGTGTTCACAACAGACAGTCTGTGTAGCCTACATGTTTATTCTTATCCAGTTTCTGAACATATATGAGGAGCTGTGAGCTCTGTGTGCTAACAGTTTACAGCTTACAGCTAACAGTTTACAGCTAACAGATAACAGATTACAGCTAACAGTTTACAGCTAACAGCTAACAGATAACAGATAACAGATAACAGATAACAGTTTACAGCGAACAGCTAACAGATAACAGATAACAGATTACAGCTAACAGATAACAGATAACAGATAACAGTTTACAGCGAACAGCTAACAGATTACAGCTAACAGATTACAGCTATCAGCTAACTGATAACATTTGACGGTTTACAGCTAACAGCTATCAGCTAAGAGCTAACAGCTAACAGCTTAGAGCTAACAGATAACGGCTACTGATTACGTTTTCTGATTCAACGTCAGCTTAGATTCTCACAGCTGATTGGCTTTAAAGGCCGCTACACACCAACCCAAGGTTCAAGGTTCTTTATTGTCAATCTGACATAGCTACAGAGTAATTATGTAGTTGAAAATCTTATGTCACAGGCTTCTCCAACAATGCAACATAATAACATAATAACAATAAGAGCAAGAGCA